TATTGGGGGGGACATGTTCCCTCCGTCCCCCCCGCTTCCTACGCCTATGTTTGCCACCACAAAAAATGAAGAGGGAAGCAAGAAAGGTAGAAAAATCTCCAAAGACCACTGCAAGAGAACTGCAGCAAAGCTTTTAGTGTGATATTATGCTGCTCTTGCACTAAAAGATCACTTTTATATTAACGCTCTTTAGAGTTCTTTATAGGTTGTATGAATATTTTCTGTTCGGTTGGGTGAACTTTATTTGTAAATCAAACAGTAAAAAGGTCCGTACCTGGATTAGAAAGCAGCCAGTGAGGATCGGTGGGAGAAATGGGATTAGACTGGTTTCTGTCAGACCTGCTGTTGTGTATTTGGATCAGCTGGAGGGATATTTTTGCATCCTAATAAATAGGAATTACAGCAGGTTAGACTTTAAAGTAGCAAAAACAAAATCCTTCCTTCTCTTCCTGAAACAGCAGGGCTATAATATAATCATGTGCTGCTGAACTCAGGCGATACCAGCTACTTGTTTGGCACGCGAATTAAATAGGAAATATCGAAATGAAAAATAATGGCTGTGTTACTGATGGCAAACGTGAAACCATTACAAGTGTTTCTAACAACTTGTTTCTACTTGTGTAGTTTTATTGCCTTACTGGTTTAATTGGGCTACAATGATAACTATTTGTTGAGTGTAACCTTCATGAAAACGAAAAAGAATGACTCACCAGTCCTATGAACACATCATGTATGAGTATCTACAGTATCCTTCTTCCTGAAGTTTGTTTTCTAGGTGAATATAGATTGAAACTCTGCTTTCATACTATATTCATTGTGGCTCCTTCTTGCACTCCTGAAGAATAAACTGAAGTTTGCTGCCTAATACAAGCTGTCATTTGAGAAAATTAATATGCATTGTGTTTTAAGCAATTTAAGTAACATAAGAGGTGATTTAGCCACTTGACTGCTGAAGTCAAACACACCTTCCTGCACCTGTGCGTCTTTGGGACCAACTGAGTGTTATTGAACTGCTGTGCAGCGTCGGATCAGCCTGCGTGCACTACATCTCTCCCCCAACACCTCTAAACACGTAATTCAGCTTTTTCCTTTGTATAAAGCGATAGACTGCACATTTTAACAGAATGTGCGCTGCTGTTAGAATGTATTTCATTTAAGTAGTGATTCGTTTGGCCTGTTCATTGCTGTAGAAATGAGGAAGGAGAAAAGGGGGAAGCAGGAGATTGTTGTTCCCGAAGAATCATCAGTTTTGTGCTGAAAGCTCCGAGTAGTTCTTATGGGATTAACAGCATTTGTGAAAAATAAATAAATAAAATAGAGGTGGATGGGGTTTATTACTGTGTGTGGGCGCAGCGACATGTTGTCTATGGGTGTGCATGTTCCTGCTGAATGTGCACATACATGTGTTCTTCCCAGAGGCTGATGTTTGTGACTTGGGGGTGAGCTTGTTGGCAGTAGAGGCTGTGTATTCCTGCCTTGCTTGTTCTCCATCCAGATATGTGGATTACAGGGAAGAATGGTGGGTGTCGGTATGTGTGCGTGCGTGCGTGCGTGCGTGCGTGCGTGCGTGCGTGTGTGTGTGACAGTGTATTTCACTCTATGAATGTGAATAGAGCATTTCTCTTCCCACGTAGCAGGAGGAAATTGGTTGAATTTCAGCAGGTAGAATAAAAGCGTCGGAAAGACTGGGGGCATGCATACCATGTCAATTACATGAGAGCTTCATATACCCTTTCTTTTATTTTTGTCTGAGTTTTGTGACCTAAATTTAAAGTATTTACTTTACAGAAACTATAGCATATTTTCTTATTTTTGTTATTTTATGTTTAGATGAGATAATCCCTTCTACTCTAGTCTAGTCCTAGTCAAAGCCCATGAGTTAAGGCAAGACTTTTCATACAGTAAATGATAGATGGTTTCTCTCTAATCTGACCAAATTTGGGCTATTTTGCAACAAGAAATGGGCAAACCTATCATTGCAAAACTGGTAGAGAGACATTTATTTAATTGCACTGGAATTAAAGAGGGCCAAATACAAATGTACACCACACTACTTAACATGAAAAAAAAAATAAATTTAGAGTTTCAAGGACTATGAACTCTTTTGCAACTAACTACACATTGTGTAGTTTCAGTGGGCATAAATCTAACTGCGAAGCAGCTACAGCTGCTAAGCTATAACTGCTCAATATATTGCCTCAAAGGAGCCAGATATTGTGATAATATTTCCTGTGAAGTCCTTGTGCATGACCATGGCAGCATGATCTGCAGTGTCTTTGAAAAATGAGGGGAGGTGGGCAAGTGCAGGTGAGAAAAAGATGCGTAAATAAACTAATAAACTTAAATCTTTATTAGTCATGTTGTTACGAAACAGAATAATCCAGCAAAGACCTTGCAGCTGAATGATTCATTAGTCAAGTCAAAAGGTATTACAGCATCTTATCGAGCAAATGAAAAATAATCCTGTAAATATGGTCAGATACTGAAAGCAAGTAAAAAAAAAAAAAACAGCTTAGTTTTGAGAGACCTTCAAAGAGATTGAAAAATATAGATTAAAACCTATTTAAAAGATTCTGAGAAAGCCTGACTGCTTGGAAGCAAAATAAACAGAAATAAAGGAGAAAGACATTTACATAGGCAATAGGGATTCATTTAATTTTTTATCTGAAAAACATCAAATTCAATGGTGCAGCAAAGCATTAAAGATTACATTAAAATATTGCCAAAGTGGAGCTCCAGGTAATTTCATTGCTCTTTGATTTCTAACTAAAATGGCCGGAGTCATCTGGCTGGATCCGGTTTTGTTGTAGTTTGTGATTTTGTGTACGCAGTTTGGGCTGATGTTGTGTTTCTCTTCCTGTGCAGCTGCAGCAGCAGACCAAGTCTCAGTGTTGCTGTTTGTTGCTGGTGTCTGAGGACAACCACCAGCTATTCTGCCAGGTGACCACAGTCAGACCGTTGAAGCCAAATCTTTATTTACACAGTATGAAAGACACACAACCACTTTTTTTATTCTATGTGGCTAACTTTAAGTCACATTAAGATTTCCTTATATTAGGCAATTTTATTATTATTAATCTATTGTAAAATTTTTAACACTCCTTAAAGGCGGAGGTTTGAAAAATCTCTATGTTCTTTGGTAAAGTTTGTATTTAAACTTTATGACTTCAGTCAAATGTTTCCGGTGTTGTTTCACAAGGTCATAATCGCTTACACCTTCTTAGCTTCGCCTATAAATTTTCTATGGGACTTAGATCAGGACTTTGTGATGGGCACAAACATCAACTTTGTTGCTCTTGAGTCATTTTGTAACCAATTTGGCAACACGATTAGGGTCATTCACTCTCGATCACACTGGTTTTCATTATATGTTTTTAAAATGCCACAAGGAAACAACGTTCAAACGTTCAACCTCTTTTCTTCACACACTGAGACATAAACAGATAGATTATAGCCGTCTACAGTTTCTGCTGTGATTTGGAACTAAATTCAAACCTAGCATTTAAATAGTTTGTAACCTTTGACCTTTGTTACATTTAGGTGGTTGGAGACAAAGTGCTGGAGGAGGAGATCAGCTTCCCGGTGAGACAGAGAAAGAAAAACACAATGGATTTATTTTCTTGTATTTGTAGATCTGTAATGTTCCCTCTGAGACCGTTTGCTTATTAATCAATTGCCTATTTGTTTGATCATCCATATTTCAAATGTTTCTTAATCAGTCATTCCCTTCTTTTATTCACTGGATCCCCCGTCATCTCCTGCTTTACTGAGCTGAGGTTTTCAGGGATGTTTGTTGCTAATAATAACAATAATAAGCTTACTTAGAATACAAGTGCTGTAATCCTGCGTGTGTTTTTGACAGACACAAAAGAATAAAGCTTCCACATGCAAAAGCTCCTAATCCTCTGTAGGGGTTTGTAATTAAGAAATTTGTGCAGGAGAAGTAATCGCTTCCTTCGAGTCGCTCCGGGTCTCCTGTCCATGCTTACGCTGCAACTGTAATGTCACTAACAGGCTCTTCATTACATGGTGTGTCCCCCCCCAGGCCAATGATGTGTGAAACCTTGATGATAGCTAAGGTGAAAAGCTATGAGGGCAAAAAAGTCTTACATATCTTTCTCCTACCATAAAACATATAAAAGCCTTCATTTATTATTTGTTTTTATCAAAAAACAATCTCTAGGGACATTTTCTTCGAATATTTTTTGTCATGATTTTGGTGGGGGGTTTTTTTCCTCCCCCCCCTCCCCCCCCCACCCCCCTCACACACACACACAGTTTTCCTTTGGTCGCTTTACCCCTGTCTTTCTCTCTCAACTGTCCAGCTGATGTTTGGACGCTTTGGTCAAGTCGTGGAGAAAAAAAAGTCTATTTCCCTCCAGGACATCAGCGCTGTAAGATTCAATCCGTCTTATCTATTGATCCATCAAACTAGCCTCCTTTCTGCCCGTCTGATGTTGTCTGTGTCCTTCTCGTCCTCTCAGGAAGAACGCAGGCAGCTGTCCAGCATGCTGGGCTGTGAGATCTCCTCCATGCTTTGTGTCCCTGTTGTCAGCAGGGCCACCGGTCATGTGGTGGCGCTAGCCTGCGCTTTTAACAAGCAGGGCGGACAGAGGTGAGAGACTTCTAATTTGTCATGTTGGCCGTGTGTCCTTTTAAAGCTCGGTAATTGCAGAATATCGTATCCCACCCTTGCGCGTCTTCATGCCAAAATGCATCAAGACTATTTGAGACTGCTGACTCTTAGGAGAAGCAACAATTTATGCAACAGTAATTTTGAGATGAGGTCTGATTAGATTAGCTAATTTGCCTGGATTTGTTGAGTTTGCAGAGGATTTGACATCTTACTGGCAGCAGGATGGTTACAATCTAAATGAAGTGGAGGAGCTAGCTGCATTTACTTAAAGAGAGAGGAAAAGCCCATTGAGAAGTAAAACTACATACCAGAGCAGGGTTTATCGCCCAGGGCAGCATAAAATTAGGACCAACACAAATACTCAATATTTATTTTTTAAGGCATGCGTCAGTCGCACCAAAGCTAAGCTTTCTATTGCTCTTTTTGTTGTTCAGTCATTGTTATGTGAATGTTGTTTGCAGCTCCCTGGAATCTAAATATGGCAAGGATGAAGAAAGACCAATAATTAATTCAAATTAAGGACTTTAATGATTCACTATATATGCAAAATGAATTAGTCCTTTGCAGGAATATCAGCATTAGTGAATAACATGTATTTGAAGTCTGAAAGGCTCAAGGAGAGGCCCGGGGCCATGCTGTTGCCGTTTTCCACTGAAAGTTTAGGAAATGACGGCTCTAAAAACAAATATAACCTTTCATGCCTCCTGTTAGATTGACACAGCGTTCCTTTTAAAGTTACAAATTACGCTGATTGGCAAGTTTAAGACTGCAACACAGATAAAGATGTGTGCACTGAAGCACCAGCTTCCTTCACAAGCTCAAAATACACAGAAATGACTCAATTTAATGATCTTCTAACTGCTTATATTATATGGAAATTATGGAAATGTTTATTTAGTTAATTGGAGTAGAAAGTGTTTATTATGTCTTCATGAGTATCGCACAACAATGCAAATTCCCTGAAATAGGAAGTTCATGATTTGATTCGTTGCACTTTATCAGACATGAGTTGTTTTCAACTTGCTGTGAGTCTGATGCTTGTTGTTGAATACAGATTTCCAATTGTTCAGTAATAGTTTACTAATGAGCTTCTTGTGTTAAAAGATGCATTTCTTGTGTGTGTTTACCTTTCACATTTTGTCAAATTAAAACCACGACATTCAATTAAATTTTATTAGCATTTTAATGTGATGAACCAACTCAAAGCAGTTTATCACTGTAAAGCGAGAGGAAATCTTGCATAAAAAATTTTATATAAAATTTTATTTTTTCCCCTTTCTTCACAAAATTGCTCAATTTCAGTCAGAATGGACAGCACCTTTAAATCTATATTTAAGTCCTGACATACCGTCTCATTTCTACTTAGGTTGGGACTTTGACTGAGCCAATGTAACGCTTCCATATGCTTCGATCTAAAGCATTCAGCTGCAGCTCTGCTTAGGGTTGTCCTCAGTTTTACGTGTTTAGCTGTCTTTGATTAGATTTTCTCCCATCTGCCCTTACCCATCTACTTTTTTTCCCAATCAAGAAAAGCAATTTCACATCATAATACAACTATAATCATGCTTTATCATTTGGTCTGGGTGTACAAGCTGATTAGGTGTATGTTAACACACATAGAGCTTTTTGTCACCGCCGCTCAGAGAAACTTACAGTTATCGTCTTCACCACACAATATTTGGCATGTAGGTCAACATTTTGCTGTTTCCCTGAATCAAATGACGGGTGTGTTGGATGCAGTTATGTTCTGCAGAGTCCCGCTAAAGACGTAATCGGTTGATTTAGGTGTTTTGGACAAGGAACGCATCTAAATGTAGCAGAACTCCAGCCTTAGATGGCTGGACTCCCACACTTTCATATAAAAGCCAGTTTTGTGGAGTGCACAACCAATAAATGTCATGACAAATAGTTCTCCTTCTTGAGCCATGAAGGCTCTGGATTAAGGTCCAGTTTCTGAAGACCTTGGCTAGTATTGTGCCTTTGTACCAGATTTCCAGAAAGTCACTCTCTAAAGCTGCCACCTACATAACCCTCAAAAACTCCTGAGAGAAACTAGACTTTCATTCAAATCACAGGAGGAAAAAAAAAAAAAAACTCAGAAGGTTGCTGATTGCGCTCCATCAGTATCGCTATTATATATTCTTATGCGCTCTTCCCAAACTAAGCAAAGCTTTGCCTCATCAGTGACAAGTGTTTGGACTGTTGGTCGGGCCCATCTTTGAAGGCTGTGAAATGTTTCTCTGACTGTCGGGCCTCTGACAGAACGTCCAGACTTAAAGCGCGCCCTCGACTGCATGCCGCTGCACTTTAAAACCCATGTCCACTCATCCTCCCTTTGTGTGTGTGTGTGTGTGTGTGAGCAGATGGGTGTGATGATGATGAGGATGAGGATAATGGCGGTGTGATGATCTGGAGTCAGGTCATGAGTCTAACAGCAGCGGGTGGTTTGGCTGCCTGATTTGGCAGCAGCGGGTTTTGGCGTGTCTCCTCGGTGTGTGTTTGTCTCTGTGCGCTGCCAGGAGCAATGCCGTTATCTCCTGAATGCAGAAGTCAGGGAAAAAGCTCTCTATTTTTTATTTTTTTATCACCATGGTTGTGTTTGTTAAAGTATGCAGAGGAGTTTATTGGTATATTGTTTTTATTTTTTTCCTCATATGCATACACCCTCATGAGATGGATGAGAAGGGATCATGTCTGATCATTTCACTCAGTAGTGGCTGGCGTCTCATTACCATGGTGAGTGCTGCAGGATTAGGGTTTCCACGGAGCAAATAACGCAGTCAGTCTGGTCTTTGCTCCGAACGCAGTGAAACAGATGAACTTTGCCATCATTATAAAGATTACATATGCAGAGTTTGTTTGTGTGCAAAGTAAAATATGGCCTCATACGTCCCCAGCAGCACAGCATGGCAGCGGTAATAGGTTCATAACTCATGTTTTACAACCAGAAAACTCCACAAACAGAGGAAACAGAAAAATGGTAGTGCTCAAAATACCAAAAAATGATTTTTGTTAGATCAACCTTAATGCAAGGAATAGGGCCAACGCAGAGAACCTTTTGTTTTTCATATATTAGACAATATCCATGTTTTGGAAGCCCAGAGCTGCCGCTTGTTAGGCTTGTTTCCAAGATATGGAAGAATTTCAAAATATCTTTCTCTCCAGCACGGCAGCCGGGTCTACTGCAGAGTTACAAAGAGCTATTTCATAACCAAAATCTTCTATTTGTTGTGTATTGTGCACTCTCTTTCTGCAGTATACATGTATTTTACGGTTTTTAGAAAAGGACTCCCACTGGCTACTTTTCAACCTGTGGGGATGGAGACCAGACGATGTCATGACTGCAAATAACTGCCTGTTACCACAGAAAATGATCCTCCAGTCTCAGCGTAGCTCTCCTGGGTGTCAGTCACAGAGATTTCCCAGATGCAGGCTCCTGTCTCTGTTGACAGGATCCTTGTGTGTCTGATCTGGGACCAGGAAAGACCCTCGAGCCCATAACAACGTGCCACTGCTCTCTATAGGAGGTGACAGATAACTGCAGCCAATTACATGAGCCATTATGGTCACATTTTTGGTGTTTAGAAAGATTCCCAACCTGCAGGAAAACTGGTTTCATTATTGTTTTGTTTTTTTTTTCCCCACTCTAGACATTTTGCTGTGACTTTGTTCTTTTACGTTACCCGTTTCTGCATTACTGTCTTAATGAGTTTTTGACTGATTGGAACAGAAAATGTCACCCAAGCAGAAGCAGAAAATAATTTTTCGATTTGTTCAGCAAAATTATCCAGTAGGGGAACATTTTTATTAGCTGTAAGTACTATATGTGCAATTTGAGCCTTTTTATTTCACAACAACACTTGATTTGTCACCTAGGATATTTTGTTTCTTCTATGAGATGTTAATGAAACACAGAAGAGGTACAGAAGCAATTTGCATTTCTCTGAAATGAGGTGCCGTGACCCGAAACACGACGAAGCAGGGATAAAACAAAGAATTAATGCAGTGGATTAGAATGTATTAATTAGAACAAATTATTATCGCTCCCTATGAGTAAATATAACATTTAGGATTTAAAACTATAGTAAAAACAATGTTTATTAAAATGTTCTAGAGCTAAAGAAAAAACACTCAGAGACTTTTTACTGCAACATGAATAATACATTAAGAGGAGATTAAGTGTATAACTCTCACTGTTTGACTTTGTTTGTGTTCTGCAGACATGCAGAGGCAGACGAACACGTCATCCAGCACTGTTTCTGCTACACCTCAACAGTCCTCACTTCAACTCTGGCCTTTCAGAAAGAACAGAAACTAAAAGTGGAATGCCAGGTATCGCACATTTCCCCACTCACTCGCAAGTTTACATGCGCCTATCGTTAATGTGAAAGTCATAATAATTTGGTCTTTAAATGATTGATTTGAAGTACCCTGTCTTTAAAGTGCGCGTTATTATGTTCAAATGTACAGTTGGTTTTCGCTAAACCAACCTAAATATGCTAATATATCCATTTGCCCCCACTAATAATAATTCTTAATGGATATTTTGAAATAGTAAAGTTAATTTTAAAGCTTAGTTTTACTCTGGCCTTTCGATTCCAAAGCCGGTTTTGGTGTGCGTTTGACATCATCGTCCTGCGAGAACACCAACCGGTGCCCCGGCTGCTACTTTCCATCTGTTTAATTTGTGCTAACAAGGGGAAAATCCAAGCTAGTCCTTCTTCGCTATCCCTATTGCTTTGCTCGGTGCACCAGTACCACTGGTAATAAAGCAGACGCCCAAAGCCTCCAATGTTTGCCAGCTGGTTTGGTTTGAAAGCTTCACCTTGACCAAACATTCATCTTTCAGTGTGGCCAAATATTTTCAACCTCTGACTTGTCTGACCATAAAACTAGGTAACAAAAACCGTGTGGATTTTCTGCGGCTTGCTGAGAGATATTTCTCCGTATATTAAAGGGAACACACACTGTCTGCATAGTTTCAGCCTGAGAAAATCTTCCATAAATTCAAACTTGTGCACCCAATTCTCGGTTTTAAAATCCTTCCGATTGCATTTTCCATTATTAGTCAAGTTGTTCATAATTAGCGCAGCATTCACATGACGATGAAGGAATGTGCTTTACGCTGTGAAGCTGTTTTTTGATGAGCTTGTTATTGTCCACCGTTTCCCTTTTTAGGCACTTCTGCAAGTAGCCAAGAACCTCTTCACACACTTGGGTACGTCTCTTTCCCCATCTCTGTCTGAATGTCCAGTGAACAGACACTGCTGGAACATCTGCTTTGCTGGCAGATATTTAAATGCTCACCTTTGATGCCAAACGGTGCACATAATTGAATGAGATATTACTGACCGTAAAGGTGATAATGTCCAGAATCATAATAATAAACTTAAAAGGGCATTAAAAATGATGGCTCTGCCATCCTCACACTCCCATTCTTATAAAACAGCCAGCAGCCACAGCAGAACATGTCATTGTTGATTTATCATGATTGCGAGAACAAAAATTGATCCAGTGTTAGAGCAAATTGCCACTCACTGGACTGAACCCATGATTACAAAAGCTCTTATCAGCTTGTGCTGTTGATCCTCAGGTACTCATGTTGTAATCTCTGTTTCTGTCTGCCTGGGCTCTATCGTACTGCTATAATTTTCTCTGTTTTCTTTTGGATTCCTCCCTCTTTCTGTCTCTTCCTCTCACCCCGATTCCTCCAGATGATGTGTCAGTGCTGCTACAGGAAATAATTGTGGAGGCCAGGAACCTGAGCGACGCAGAGATGTAAGCCCTCTGATTTATCCTAACAAGGACGTTTTAATGCATGTCGGAAAGAGAGAGCATGCCTTTGTAGACTGGAAATCTCTTTATCTCTATTTGCAAAAAGGCTACTTCTGCTATTTGTTCTCAACCAACTTGCCTGATTTGATTAAAGTTGCAAATTGACTTGAAGTAGAATGAGAAAAACCTCTGTGAACTCACCGGCTTTGCTCTGTTTTCCGTCGCCTTTCTGATTTTGCCTCTCTCCGCTCTCCTAGCTGTTCAGTGTTCCTGCTGGATCGGGTTAGCCATGAGCTAGTGGCAAAGGTGTTTGATGGCGGTGTTGTTAGCGACGAAGAGGTAAAGCAATCAAGAATAATTTGTTCGATGTGAAAACTAGGTATACATATTAAATTGCAAAGTTTTGTTTATGGTCTATCTTCAAATAAACATAACCTCAGATGAGCAGAAATCACCCACTGTCATTACTATGTATTAAACAAAGTTCAATAATGCCAATCAAATGCTCTGTGTTAATCATGCGGGATAAACACCTGTAAAAAGAAGAATGTTTTGATGCTTTAGAGCAGTGCCATACAAAAACATCAACTCTTCAGGTTTCAGAGAAGCAATTCTTCAGACTTAGAAATGTTAGAGGGCAATGTCCAAATATCTGGCCTCGATTGTCCTGCAGCAACAAAGACTGCAGACCAGTGGGAAAGACAGTAACTAATCTTTGTAGAATCATCAAGTTTACCCAGAGGTCAGACAGTACAATGCTCAGAGAAATTTCAAATAAAATATTTCAGACCCCGCAGTCCTCAAGCTCTTATATTAGATGTCAAAGTTCATGGCAGTTCAGTTAGAAAAAGACTGAACAGGGAAGACTTGCTTAGTTGCAGACAGAAAGCCTCTTCAGTGTAGATGGAAAATGGCTCCAGGTCTTGAACTAAAGTCTGGAAAAGGTTCATTTGAAGACATAAGAGCAAAGTGGACATGTTTATCTACAATGCATAGCAAATTGCCTGATGGGAACCAAATAAGACATTTATTAAATTAAGTTTTCTTTGGACCTATTGAACTAGCAGCTACCGTCAACTCTGCCCTAAGCATACACAAGTCTATTGGAGCTAAAAGTGGGACCATTTTTTACAACTTTGGAGTTTGGCTGAAGCCTTGCTTTGCAACATCTAAAAAAAGAAAGACTGGAAAAAAAATGTTGCAGAGCTCCAGTTCAGTCATAGAAGTCAAGCTAAATAAAGTACTGCAAAGGTACCCAAAAGCCTTTTTCTCTCTCAATTGGAATGTTTTCCTAGACCTCCAAGACTTTTCAGCCAAATGTTGAAAACCTTTTTCCAGCACAAAGTCATGAAGCAATTGAACGCTTTCCCGCTTTCCAAACCATACCAGAATACTACCAGCACAGGTATCCCATCTGTACTAGGATCTTCCCTTACAATAAGTGGAATTTCCTAATAAAATATAGAAGATTTCTCCACCTCCACCATCAGTTTCAGCCCTTCTGATGAGAAGCATCATCTGCAGAATTTTAATTTCTTTTAGTACAGAATGGGGTGCACTGCAGAACAAATATTTTATTATCTGTGTGCCTGTGTTTGTCTGAAGCATCATGCACGCAAAATCCAAAATCATTTTTCAAATTAAGCTCAGTCCAATCTTTATGGACAATTTGGACAGGTGTGCACTTCTTTCCAGCTGGGACTCCTACTGTGTAGAAGGGGCAGCAAACATGAATCTCGATGTCCAACGGGCCAAAGTTTGGTCAGGTTTGCAGATTATTGTTGCCGTGTTACCAAAAGTGTTGGAATAAATTAGGCTACATGGGGCACTAACAGTCATGTGTTGGTGTTATTTGGCTCACCAGTGAATTACCTTGGTGTTAGGTCTGCACACCCACTCTTTGTTCAAATTCTCAAATGGCCAATCTGGCCAGGTGCACGCAGACCACATGCCATGGAGAACCCACCACTGCTGCTCTCAGGCTCCTAAACCCAGGGAAAAAAAGTTTGACTGCTGTCATGATAACAAAGCACCATAAATCTTTGGTGCAAGCTCAAAACAGTTTCTCCACATGCCTTAAAACTGATAAGTTGTTGTGTTATTCCTGCTAAAGCTAAACTCTACAAGCTGAGAAACATTAGGGTAATCCACTCAGCAATATGTCATATTAGGTGCAGAATGTCATTTAATACGCCACATTAAATTAATACAAACTTTATACAGTAGCAAAGCATTTCCAGGAGTGACAGGATGATGCATGCAGCTGCAGACCATGAGAGGTCACTGAATAGTTTAATGGGTATAAAATTAATGTGAATAATATATTACACCAGGTTTTAACCCAGTTTAACATTAAATTAGGCAGTCGCTTTGGGAAGAATGATGATCTTACCCTCCAGTAAAGCTCCGGGGACTGTTATAGCGAATGCTAATGTGCAGTGAAGCTGTTGTGTGGGCACATGGTTGCCCAGCACCTTACAACATCCCTTTGATATCGAATGATCCTGTAATTTGTCTCTTGTCTCATTGTGTGTATTCGACTTTTTTAAATGTACTTTTTCCACGTAGTGACTTATCCAGCATCTTCCTTTTGGCCCAGTTGTCTCACAAGGATTCGGCAGCGTTTGCAGCATCAACCAAAAAAGAAAGGAAGAAACTGGGGCATTTTGTGCATTTTTTAGAAAGTTGGCATGTGACAAACTGAGCCCATTAGTTGGGAGACCGAGCTGCTTGTCAACTGCTTACTCACTGTCACAGATATTTTTATTAGGTAAATGTCTTCTGTGTTTGTGTCTGAATGCAGAATGAGTTTCGTATCCCAGCCGATCAAGGCATCGCAGGCCATGTTGCAACCACCGGTCAGATTTTGAACATTAAGGATGCCTACTCCCACCCTCTCTTCTACCGCGGCGTGGACGACAGCACCGGCTTCAGGACTCGCAACATTCTCTGCTTCCCCATCAAAGACGAAAACAACGGTAAGAATGAGGTGACACATTTCCATACATTACTGCAGGTAAAAAGGACACCATTCAGTAACACTGCAGCAGTAATATATTAATGCCGCTGGAAAAGAAGTGAAGCTGCAGATAGCTACAATTCAAATGAAGCAATTACTAAAAGAAAATAGAAATACAGGAACTAGTAACTGAATAGATATTTTTAGCTATTAAAAAAATCATGTCTATTGGGATTTTTTGCACTGAAGGTGCAGAAAAATGATAAATAAGGGGAGGAAATGTGGGTAATGTTGTTTCAGGTGGCTTTTTATGCATTGTAATTAAAAGAGATCTTAATGGAGACATTTAAGTGTGCTCATTTATATGTATTTTACACATTTAGGTGCTCTGGAGACAAAAACAAAGCTCATTCTTCTTATTCAGTACTTTGTAGAGAAGCAGAATCATATTTGCTACTTTATGATGTCTTTGTAGCATTCAGTCATTTACCATGGCAACTAAAGCTATTGCATAGTATTTCAATAGCAAATTTTGTGTTTTTCCTGCACTTTCGCCTTGCGTTAACTACCCTCTCCTCCTCTTTTGTCTGAAAAAGTGAAACTACATTTTCACCCAGGTGATTGTTCAGAATAGCACAAAGAGCAGTTACATCACATCCTTGTGCCTAAATGTTAGAGTGCTCAAAGTGCACTCCAAACCCTCTTCACTGAGTTATTTCAGAAATCTCTGCTTCATGTTGACGGTGCTGCCTAAACTGTTTCTGGGCAGAGCAACTTTGCATTCAGTGCCACTTGTCTCTATATGGAAAAGTGTCTGGAGCTCAGCTGAATGGTTTAAATGCAGGTCTTTTTCTTTGCAATCAGGATCAACCACAGTGTGAAATTAATCTGAGTTAGCAGAGCTGCTCAACTCCACTTTTGTTCTGCACCTCTAACTGTTGCTTTCTTTGCCCCATTATTTTTATTCATCCTGGCATCTTTTTCTTTCCCATTTTTCTTCATCATCTACTTTCCTTGCCTTCGTCTTTCTCGCCTAATCTTTTCCTCCCACTATCGCCTCTCCTTTCTCTTGCCTCCTCTTTCTGAAATTCTCCGTCTCCTAGAGGTGATTGGTGTAGCGGAGTTGGTGAATAAAATGAACGGGCCATGGTTCAACCGCTTTGATGAAGATCTGGCCACAGCTTTCTCCATCTACTGTGGAATCAGCATTGCCCACGTAAGACTTTTCTCCCACTCACAGTCACCTTTAAATCTTTTTTTAGTCTTGCGAATGTCTTTGCGGTGGATAGATTAAAATGAATCTCTTAGAGGATTTTTTTTTTAAAATAAGAAGTAAATCAATTCTTTCAGAAAGAAGTGGTAGCATAGAGAAAATGAATTCAGCAGGACAAACAGTGAGCAACATCCTCATGACTAATTCATCCCGAGAAATGAAATATGTTGTTTTTCTGACCTTACAGTGGGTTAAAAAGTAGAAATGTACTGGTTATCCATTATTAGGATAACCAGGATACTGTACTAGGATACTGATAGGATACTGTAGGATACTGCACTTGCAACAGTGCAACAGCTCTGCACTTGCGCTGGAGCTGTTGCTAATGTGGTCAGAAAGACTGAGCTTGCCTGGGAAAATGAGATCAGTTCAGCAGGAGGGAAGGAACATCTCGCAGGAAATTCAAGCAGATCCTGTCTAATGGTAGTGATAGAGCTCCGCCCTGCACTTTAAAAACAGTTTTTATATGACAGCTTCAAAGCTAACAACAAACATTTTGCTAGAGAGAAGGTTGAGCCTCGCAACAATGACATTTACATCCTTAATGATGTTAAAGAAAATAAGACTGTGTTGTATGGCTCCACCAATACCCAGAAAGCTTTTATGTTAACATGGGATATATCCTGTTTGGAGACTCTCAGAGTGTAATTTAGAAATCAGGAGAAAGATGGGTTCTACTTTCCCTATAAGTATAAAAGAATGATGAACAGAAAGGAGGAAGTAAAAATAGAAAGGGAAGGTACCAAGGAAGGAAGGATAGAAAGAAGGGTAGAACTAAACTAAAAAGACATAAGGAAGCAATGTAGATAGGTAGCTTTTCACTCAATTAGCAATCAGTAACCTTTTTAGAGACTTGTTGCTTAATTAGTTTTACCAACAACTTGCAGGGTGTTGTTGGCTAGCACATGTTAGCTTGAACATGGGCAGCTTTAGCTCTGGTCAGCATTGCATCAGCAGTGTTTGGCTGGCCAGACTCGGTGAAGCTGCGTCTCTCAGCTCTCAAATGGTCATCAGACTGGACTTGCACCCAGCGTCGGCTATCAGCAATAATCTTGGGGAACCTGTAATTACACGCTTTCTTCTGCAGAATTCTGAATAAAACTAGGATCAAAGTGTATTCATACAGCTGGGAAAATACAGTCACCTATATATTTTTGGATCTGGAGCTTTAGAGTAAAAAACAGGCCTTCTCTCTGCCAACGAGAGAAGGTGTGCAGTTATTCCTCCTTTAAGAAACAAGTGCCTCACTTGTTTCTCAAGTGGGTGAGCTTATTTCAGCGGCTCAGTTTTGTAACCAGATATCAGTTTTTCACATGGTAAAACTCCTCTTCCTGTTGAAACTGAAAGCATGTTAATTCACTGCATTGTGGGATAAACAGTCCCCACACCAGTCTCCTGTAGTCAGTTCTTTATGGCAGGAGGTCCAACATTAACAAAAGGAAAGGAGGGAGAGAAAAAAAAGGGAATAGAAAGAAAGAAGAGAAAAATGTAAACATTGAATCAAACAAGAAGAACAAAACAGAGAAAGGAAAGAAAGAAATGTATGATTAGAGGATAAAAAAGAGAAGACTGTATTACTGTATTACAAATGAGAAAGCAGAGTTGAGCTCGAAGGAAGAGAAAAAAAATAGATCCTTATTACAATCAAATTACATCTCAGAAATATTTTATTCAACATTTCTGATTCACTGTGTTATTAATCAGCACTTGTAGAATGTGACCTTTCAGTAACTGCAGGTATTCAATAGAATATCTGCAAACTATAAAGACAAGCAATTGGGAAAAGAACAGCTTTCAAGGACACTTTTTAATCATTTGAAGATTGCCAAATACAATGTTAACCAATGCTTGCACTTTAACAGGCTATCCAGAACTGATATGTGAGCTTTAATCTGCTATGTTCAGCCGTATCTTATATCATAGGAAAGTAAAAATGAATTAAAGCAACACCATAATGAGGATTGTTTATTCACAAAGATGATTTATCTCTGTAATGAGAAACCAGCATTGTTGTTTTTGTTTGTGATTCGTATGTTCTTTAGTCTCTGCTCTACAAGAAAGTCCATGAAGCTCAGTTCAGGAACACGCTTGCCAATGAAATGATGATGTACCACATGAAGGTAACCTCACATTTACCCACGACACTAAGCATGTCTTTCCTCAGATAATGCTCCCCATTTTGTAAAATGCTTCTTGCACGTGCTGCAGGTGTCAGAGGAGGAGGTGACTAAGCTGCTTGTGACTGGAATCGAACCCGTGAAGGAGATTCATCCGTGTTTCGCCGAGTTCACCTACACTCCCCGTTCCCTTCCTGACGACACGACGCCTCATGTGAGAAAAAGAGGGAGAGGGTGTGGCGTGAAAGATAAAAAAAATGACAATCGGAAGACAAACCAGAAGAATGAGTAATATATTCTGCTCCTTGTGTGTGCGTGCATGTCTGCAGGGCGTTCTCAGCATGTTTGAAGATATGGGTTTCATCAACACGTACAAGATTGACCTGCACACTCTCGCCAGGTTAGACACTTACATCATTCCAAGTTTTGCATATGAGAGTGTGGCTGTTTTTTCTTCAGTAACCAGCCTTACTTTGATTATGTTTCTCTCCACGTTCTTCAAAAATGACTGTATTACCCCAGTTGTGAGGACAATAAGCTAAAAATACAAGTGAACAGCAACGGCTTCAAATACAAAGCATCAATTTAGAGTTACAGCCCACACCTGACACTACAACAAATGTGCATTTAGATCCCTTATATTTCTACTTACAGCAGCAGCCATATTTATTTATTCTAATTACACAAAGGATAAAATTAAGCATATTCCTTCAGTGTATCTGTAAAGGTAAAAAGTTAAAGTTAATAGCATTTCATGTCAACAGGTGAGATAGATGTTACATTTAGTGAAATATAGCTTGAACAATTTAGACAATTTTTTATTGTAGCCTGTTAATGTCCAAAAGTTGTGTTTAAAGATCAGACTGAAAACCAAAGAAATTATGGAAACAAGATTTTAATCCCTTGAGAGTTAAGTCACTGAGATTTATATCAGACTTCAGTTTTCAAATAAGTTGTGATAAAGAGCCTCTGGTGCTACATAATCAGCACTGCAGCTGAGCTGTAATACAGCCACATTTTTATTAATTCCCCTTCTGCTCTTTCAGCTCAAGGAAAGAGGTGCACTTATCAAACCGGGTCATGATGTTCAAAACCAAATTACATGCTGCAAATAAAAAAAAAAAATAAGTGGGGAAATGATGTGGCCCTTTTTATAGCACATGTCCCAGTGTCACATGATGTGATGGCAAGTATAATTAAACCGCTGCCTTGGCGACAGGTTCTGTCTGATGGTGAAGAAAGGCTATAGGGACCCTCCATACCACAACTGGATGCATGCCTTCTCCGTCTCACACTTCTGCTACCTGCTCTACAAAAACCTAGGGTTGTCCAACTACCTCGAGTGAGCACCCTTCTCCTGAATACTTGATGATTCAATGTGTGCTGTGTTGAAATGAAAATGATTCTACTTTTCCTGTTTTCATGCAGGGATATAGAGATTTTGGCTCTCTTTGTTTCCTGCATGTGCCACGATCTGGACCATCGCGGCACCAACAATTCTTTCCAAGTGGCCTCGGTGAGAATATCCACTAGAATTTCTACTACTTTTTTTTATATGGAAGCGATATTGAATAGGTACAATAATGCAAAATAATCAGCCAGAGTGTGGTTTTCATCCCATCACCTGTGACGGGATTAAAAACACCCGGTGTGATGCTAAGATGTCTCTGCGATGAGCAGCCTTTTGCTCTGGTTCACTTTAATCATACATAGCCCTGCAGCGCTAAATGACTCAAACACACAGGCAGAAACATGGTGCAACAAAGGGCATACCCAGATAGCACAGAATGATTGAAACAACATTGAATCAAT